CTCCCTCCCGCACCCTCCTCGACCTCCCTCTCCCTCTCCCCATCCCCCATTGTGCTCGCCCTTTGTCTGACGCATGCAGTGGCAGAGGAGCAACTCCATTTTTCTTCATTTGTGCCAATTACGCTGCTGATCGGTAAATGTTGAATTATTTTGGTGGTGCAGCAGCCCCCCCCCCCCTCCTCCTCCTCCATGAGAAGCGCATGAGCCTTGCTGGCTGGCCGGCCCGACCCGCCCGACCAGGCCTCATGGCAGCGGCAGGCGGAGGGCTGGAGGGAACCCTTAGCTCCTCCTCCTCCTTCTCCGACATTCCAATCACGTGACGATCCACGAACTGAGAGGGAGAGAGAGAGAGACAGGGAGAGAGCGCGTTCGTGACGCACCTTAATTTCTCATCGCTCTCACACTCTTACACACACTGTGTAACGACCGCCGCACTTACGCCCCCCCCCCCTCCCACGGGCCTAGGAAAAGGATTAGCACCCTCTCCAGGGCGTGGCAGAGCGTGGTGGCGGAACGGTGCTCACACTTGTGTGTGTGTGTGCGTGCGTGTTCACGCGCTGCCTGCGCCTCCTCGTGTTGCCCGGCGAGTCTCTTTCTAATGACAGCCCCCCGGTAGCATCACTCATTGAACGCCTCATTTCCATATCGAGTGGGTCGCCCCGGCCGGCGCGCCCGGCGCACGCATGTTCGAGACGTCGTGGGAAACGTAAATGTTTTGACGTAACGCAGATGGAGGGGCAGCAGCAGCGGCAGCAGCAGCAGCAGTGGGATAGAGGATCGGACGGAGCCTCAACACTGATAAGGAAGGAGATTCGGTCGTGGAGGGCCGCCGCGCGTGGTGGCTGGCGGCAGGATGACGCCAGGGAGGCGTTGGAGTAGATGCTGATGTGGCGAGAAGTTCAAGTGGCCGAGCGTTGTGGCGTCACTGAGAGTCGTGACCGACGAGCGTGGCGATAGCGTGTCGCTGTGTCGTCGACTCGGCGGGGGTGTAGAGTTGCGGCTGGTACGTGTGTTAGGGCGTGTACGTATACAACCAAGAAGATGTGCTCTGGAGCACGACACACAAATACAAAGAATAGCTAAGTTGCTAAACAGTATAGCTGAATATGAACTAACTTGATATTAATAGATAGATCTAAAATATTTCGCAAAATTAGCTCTGCAGCTAAACATGGCTAAGTGTTTAGCTACGTAGCTTAACAATTAGTTATCCCCTGTTTAATAGCTATCGTTTAGATATACAGCTAATACTTCTTGTCCGTGCATAGTTGAGATGGGAATTAATAAGATGAGCAATGAGATGACGAACATGATGAAGGAGGAGAAGAGGAAGAAAGGAGTGCGGCCACGTGCCACATGTGGCGTTCTCTTTCTCTCTCGTTCTTTCTTTCTCTCTCTCTCCCTCGCTCGCTCGCTCGCTCGCCGCCCCTCCTCTTCCCCCTCCTCCCCTCCACAATGCACCCCTAGGGTGTGTTCCCTTTGATATTTCTCCCGATATATTTTTTCTCGATACAGTACAGGTCCTGCTCTGCTGGCGGCTAAAACCAGGAGCCCGGGCGGCCGGCGCGGAGGGTCGCGTGTGCTGGGTAAGCCTCTCTGTGTGTGAGAGAGAGAGAGAGCGGCGCGAGCTTGCAAATGCGAGTCCTCTCTGCGACACGTGTGTCGCGGCGGCGGCGGCGGCGCGCTTCGCAGAAAGGCGAGCCCGCTAACAGTGTAGTGCTTGCTCGCCAAACCTTACGCCAGTCAGCTGACTCCTCTCTTGTTTGCTCTCGCCGCTGAACAAATACTTGCCTCGCATCAAATTGTATTTCCTTTTGATGGCGCGAGGATGGGCGGCGGCGGAGGCGGCGGGGGATGGGGGCTGAGGAGGGAAAAGGGGATGGGGGGGAGGGGGGAGAGATTCTCTCTGGCTGCGGGCGGAGTAGGCCTCGATGTGATCAGCTGACTGACATCTTTCTAGTGTCGTGTCGGGTATCGGTTGGTCGGTCGGGGCATTCCAGCTGCCCGCCCTCGGTGCGCCCCGCCCCGCCCCGCCCCGCCACCGGGTGTATTACGGTAGGGTAGTGGCTGGTAATTGATTGTGGGGCCGGAGCTAAGTGAAGGGGACTGATGGCCGGAGTCTTATCGAGAGGAAGAAACTAATAGCGGGTTATTGGACTCGGTGAACCTGGCGGGGATACGCCGGACGCAGCTCCGCGGCGAAGGTTGGCTGCTCGAGTAATAGTGGTGAACGTGGTGACTGGACGGGAGCGGGGCTGGGGAATTTGATAAGTGACCTCTTGCGAGATCATACTATGGACGGTAATATGACCGCGTGACACTTGAGAAAACTGTGGGAAACGAAATAAATTGCGAAAAATTTTAAAAATTATTCTTGCGAAATGAATGAGCCATGCATTTTAACCTGTGAAAAATTGGGTGCACCCGTGGAATGTAAGACAACTTATGGCAAATGAAAGGGCGCTGTTGGAAAATAAGACGGACGACTTCTGGAAAAAATAAGACACTTTTGAAAAATGAGAAAGCCGCTGAAAAAGAAAGTTCTTCAGCGGTTTTAAGAAGTGGGTGGTAAATTGATAGTTAAGTCGTCGATGGTGCTGGTGAACTCGGTGCCAGCGCGGTGCCAGCACGGTGCCAGACTTCCGTCCCCCGGCGCGGCTAGTGGCCCGGCTCGCCGCGGCTCGGCGCCGCACCCTTCCCCGCCCCGCCACCCCTCGGCTGGACGCCGCGGCCTGCCCCCTCCCCTCTCTCGCGCTGCACGCTCGCCCGCCTGCCTGCCAGCCCCGGCTGCCCGCGCCGCCCGCCCGCCGGGCTGGCTGGCTGCGCGCCAGACCCGAAGGGGGATTTGGTGGATTTTGCCACCTCCTCTCCTCTCTCCTCCTCAGTCGAGCCGCTGCGTCGGCAGAGTCATGTAGTGAGGGGCGACCGCTGCGCAGCCGGCGCCTCTGTAGTGAGTGAGTGAGTGCGTTAGTGAGTGAGTGAGTGGTGAGTGTGAGAGAGAGTGAGTGACTGCCGCGAGTGAAGCTGCTGCCGCTGCCGCCACCGCCGCCCCCGCTTTGCTTTGGATTACCTTCGTCTTCGTCTTGAAATGCTGCGCCTCGACGGAAGAATGTGGTGAAGCTGGTGATCGTGATGGTGGCCATGCTGATGATGCTGGTGATGTGATAGTGATAAAGTGATGAGTGAATGGTGATCCTCAAGATGAACGAGTGCGACGTACAGTGGATACACTTGGACCCGCTCCACGCCAACAGATTCGACGAGTGAGTATCGTCCTGAGACATCCGTTCTTTTTCCAAAATCTTTGAACTAACTCTTTTTTAAAAAGATGAATAACAACAAGGTGTGGATGATTTGTGGAATCGCTAATTGCTTACGTAAGCCCCACCGGAGCAAACGAGTCCGCTCCGAGCCACTCAATCGACACTTTTTTTTCCGCCAATCGCTCATAAAAAAAGTGGTCTGTGCTGCCGTCGCTGAACGGCTCGCGCTTCTCCAATTACTTCGCTGAGCCAATATATGTCCGAGCACTTAGGGCCGTCCCCCGGGCGGCACGCGCTGAGCGCGGGGGGCCGGGCGTAAGCGGCATAGCTAAGGGACGAATTCAAAGTAGAGGAGGTTATTTTTTTGCCTCCTCTGCGTCATTGAGGAGGTCTCCTCGCTCACTCTTTGTCGAAACTCGATCTCAACTTGCATGCATGCGTGCGTGCGTGCGGGCGGGCGGGAGGGGGCGGCGGGGAGCGGGAGAAGGGGGATCTTGATGATTCCAACCGTCCTCCTCCGTGGCGTGGCGTGGCCTCCGTGTACCTGAGCGTGAGTGACAGAGGAGACACATCAGACCAGGTGACCCCCTCCGTATCCCTCGGTCAACAACTCACGGCGGTGCCCGTCTGCTGGCTGCTGGCTGCTGGCTGGAGGTTCTAGGCGAGAAGGCGGTGACCGTCTGGAGCTTCCAGCCGAGGTGGTTGTGCCCGCCCGGAGGCTTTGGCACCTTGTCTGGAGTCCTGGAGGGCGGTACGAGACGCGATGAGGTCGGCCGCGGAGCTCTGCGTCTTGGGGTCACTGGCCCGAGGCTGATAACCGCCCGATAACGTGCGATCTAAGGCTCGGGTACGTTCGTCTGTCCGCGGGACAAAGAATGTATACCGATACATTGTTTTCCCTCGCCGGTCCGACGACTGGGCTGGCCAGCGCGACGCACCTGATTCTCCTCGGTGCAGTGCGAGCGAGCAGGGTGCGTTTGTATTTACAAGTTGCAATTCGTTTCAGAAGGAACAGTGTGCTGTAGACTCGCCCTCTCGGCACCACAGCGTTTATTATTTGCGTCGAGCGAATGAAATTTGGCGATACTCGGCCGTCGTCAAAGTTTTACACGAAAACAAGAAATGGGTGGATAAGTAATGTTTTCTTGGGAACCGTTCCTCGCACCGGTGCGATTATGGCTGTTCGGGGGCCGTGTTTACAAAGTGCTTTGTGAGGGCAGGTGAGAGGGAGAGTGATGTGGTGCGGGTGTTCGCGGGGTGTTCCGCAAGGTGTTCCGCAAGGTGTTCCGATCGCTGTTTCTCCTCTTGGCCCTCGGCCGCCGCACCTGCTCCAGGGACGCCACCTGTCGCCGGCCGCACGCCACCTCCACCCTCCTGCGTGATCAGGAACATCGATTTTATTGCATTTTGCCTCACGTATATATCGGAAGCACTCGAGTGCATGGGCTCAAAATTTTTTAAAAAGAGTAAAAAATGGAACATAAAGGGGTGAGTGACGGGTCGCTTGCTCACGCCGGTGCAGCTCGTGCGCGTTGCGTGGCGTTGCGTGCCGAGCAATTAGCTTATTTACGGCTCTGTTGCTCACGCGGAAGGACAGCGCGCTACGCGAGGCGCTACGCGTGTAACGACCACATCTCGCTCGCACTGCTGATGTGTCCGTGCGGGGCACAATGGCGCCTGCAGGCAGAGCCGCGCAGAGCCGCGCAGAGGTGCTGCGGGAGCCCTTTACTGCTCGCGCCGCAGGCCCGCGGGTAGTAGTACCACCGCGCCAGGTATAGTGCTTGTGCCCCTCAAAGCAGCACACTTCTAGAAAAAGAAATGCCTCTCTCTCTCTATGCAGTTCAGAGTCATGGAAGGGGAGGAAAAGAGACCGGGTAGATGCAATAAATGTGGTACATGTTTTCTTTGTGGCCTGCTCCTCCTGGTCTTATATACCCAGCTGCCCCCAGCTGTTCGGTCACAACAAAAACCCGTCGCTCGCCTCCTCCTCCCTCCTCCTCCCCTCGAATGTCTCTACCCCGCCCTCCCCAACCCCTACCCCTCTCCCCGCTGCCTCCTGCTCACCAAAGGCATTGTATGAAGTAATTTTTTTCCCTCGTCCTTTACCCTCTCGACGTCTACCTGGCTCTGCCATGGCGTAGATGGGTTGAGGTGGGGGTAGGTTTTCCTACCCCCTTCCCTCTGTCTCTTTCTCTCTCTCGCGCTAGCGTGCTCGCCGAGCTCCTCCCCTCCACAACCCTCTCCGTCTTCATCTTTCCCCGAAGCCCGCCGCCTCCGCCAACTAAAGCGGAGCCCCCACGGCATTCCGCTTTGGATTCCCTCGGATGCCGGCGAGATTAGCAGGAGGCTGTGTGTGTATCCCCCCAGTGTATGGCCCAGAGGCGCTACTCTCGTGGGTGTGCGGCCGACGTGCGTGCGTCGAGCGTTGCCTCCCGTTTGTGGGGGCTCCAACGGGTTCCTTCTCAAAGTCAAGCAGTATAGTCGATATGTCGCACGACCCGCCGCGGTTCGCTGATCCTGATGGGCCGATATGCACAGACAATGAAAACAGATTGTTCACCGCGCGCCAACAGCGCACAAAGACACAAGGAATGACGGGTGAGAATGAAGGAGAGAGGCTATACAGGGTGGGTGATCCGCGCCGTGGTTTTTTTCTGCTTATGCTGTACCGGATTCATGGGTGCGGACGGGTTGCATACTCGCACGGGGCCGTAAGGCGACGATAGGCAAGCCCGCCCGCACGCATGAATCCGGTACAGCATAAGCACAAAAAAACCACGGCGCAGATCACCCACCCTGTATAGCTAAACATTTAGCTATATGTAGCTAAACATTTAGCTATATGTAGCTAAACATTTAGCTACTGTATATGTAGCTAAACATTTAGCTATGTAGCTAAACATTTAGCTTTGTATGCAATTAGTTCACTACATAGCTAACTATTTAGCTATTGGTTTAGCTATTCAGCTAGTCACATTTTTCCGCGAGAGACTGAGACTAGTCTCCCGCCACACGTTTGCTCCGTTGCGCTTCTCCTCTGCTCCACTTTGAGGGGAAAAGTAAATCAGCGAAGGCCCGCTAAAAATACGCAAGGTGAGGTCGTGCGTGCGCTGCGTGCGTGTTTACAAGGAGCCTGTATACCCTGTTCCATATTCCGCCGCGCCATTTCTTGCGTCTGCGCGAGTAAAGCTTTATATTGTCGTGTGTGTCATTTTTGCCATGATTGTTTGGCAGTGCACGCCGCGCTGGTGAGGGTGCACACGTGCCGGATCAACATGCTAATCAAATTTGACGTGAGGGGAGGGAAGGGGTGGGGGGCGAGTGGCTCATCCGCGGGTCATTCTGCACCACCCTGGTGATTGCAGTATTTATATCGGGACCCTGCGAGGGGAGCAAGGACTGTCCCATTTGTATTCATTTGTTGTCCTACGAGTTGTATTTTTCTTCTGACGTAAGTTGTACCTTTTCTCACTCAAACTCGGAATGGCGCTTGAAAGCTAGCGGAGCCGTCCCAAAACGCGCTGTGCACTTTATATTTCAACGCTAAATTGTCTCCAGTCGTCTATGACAGTGTCGTCCGCGCCGCCGCGGTCCCACGCCACGCGGAGCCCCCCCTCCCCCTCCTCCCGCTCGGGGACCTTGCACCGGCTCGCTGCACCGCTGCGCCAGCTGCTGCAGCTGCTGCCGCTGACGCAACGCACCTGGTTGCAGCTGCGCCGAGCCGCGCAGTGTTTATGGCAGTGTAGGCGAGCCGAGGGCGCCGGACGCCAAGGTTCTCAACCCCTTTTACCAGGAAGGCCGCGCGCCGGCCGGGCCCGCCAGGGGCCGGCGACCACACGGCAGACCGACCAGATATCTCCGAAAATTCCCTTCCCCCCTCCCTCTCTCCCTCTCTCGCTCGCCCTCTCTCCCACTCTCGCTCCGGGGCCCACTTTGGGTCCCCCCTCCCCCCACCCGCCTCCCCTTGCCCCTCACCACTCACCCGGAATGCAGACGAGACGGGGCTAACTGAATGGTGTGTGGCGGCGGCAGGTGATACGTATTGTACTCTGCCAAGAGAGAGAGCGAGAGAAGAGTCGGTCCCCCCACATGTATCGATCCAGATCAGATTTGTCGCCTCGTGCCACCGCAATGATTTCGTTTTTGATCAGCTCCAGAGACAAGAGGAGACCGGCAAGGCCTATGCTGAGCTATAGGGCGAGGTGAAGCGCGCCGCACATCTGTGGCGTACTGGCAGCGGCCCATCCGTGGCCATTCGGCACCACTTCGGGTGCCATTCGGAGTACGCGAGATCCCTCAGCCGCGTAAGCGACGTGGGTGCCCCGGCCCGGCTCGGCCCGGGGGCCAAGGGCCCGGCTGGACAAGCTCGACTCTACTGGCTTCGGCGCATCTCGGTGCTCGAGTACTGCAGCTTCGGGGGTCGCGTACTGCGCCGAGGCCGGGTCGTCCCCCGGCTCGGCTCGGCTCTCTGCGCTGTCTCGGCTTAGCATTGGCTTGCTCGACTCAGGTAGCCGACTATCCTCGGCTCCCTTCAAAGATCCGCGCGCGGTCGCCTCTGAGTGACAGTCGTGTAGCTTGTCTTTGTCGCACCAGTGAGTACAAGCGAGAGTAAGTGAGACCCCTGCGCTGGGCGACTCAAAGGTAGCCCTCCCCCACCCCATCCTGCCTAAACCAATAGGCGTTCGGGACGGCAGCCGCTAGTGCGCTTACGCACGGGGGACCAGGCCCGAACCTCGGTGAGCCCAGTGACCAGATGTTTGGCGAGGCACGCTTTTATTGCACCCATTTCCAGTCTCCTCTTGTCTCTGATCAGCTCTGGGAATAGTACACCGCCGAGTGGCTGCGCGTGGCGGCCGGTGCAGCGCGGCGCAAGGTCGCCTCGGTCGCCCCGCTAGTGTTCTGCTGGTTCCGCCTCGCGAGGCGCCTCCTACCGGGATGGAAAAGTCTTCTGTTCTGCACTCAGCATATTCTTTTCGTCCCAGAGATTTTGCTTTGTAAAG